CCCGGCAGTATGTACAAGCTCTGCTAGTAGAGCCGATTCGAGCCGGGGTGCTTAGAGACAGAGAGAGAGAGCGAGAGAGACAGAGAGAGAGAGAGTGAGAGAGAGCCAGACAGAGAGAGAGAGACGGACAGAGAGAGAGCCAGGGAGAGAGAGAGAGAGAGAGACAGGGAGAGAGAGAGAGAGAAACAGAGAAAGAGAGCGAGAGAGACAGACAGAGAGAGAGAGAGAGCCAGACAGAGAGAGAGAGACGGACAGAGAGAGAGAGAGAGAGAGACAGGGAGAGAGAGAGAGAGAACGATCCCCGCACGACAGCGTACCAGAGCCCACGGCAGGAGACGCTGCTTGCGCTGCGCGTGCCTCGGCGCTCCTCCAGCACAGCGCACGCGACAGCCCCAGCTGGGCAGACCAGTTGTTGCCATGCTTAAACACACAGACTGATATAAAGCGAAATACAATAAAATATAGCATAGCAGAGTGTTATAACAGTAGCATATGGTCGCGCGATCCAAGGTCACGGGAAAGCGGACCAAGGCGAGTTATGGGAACCCTATGCGAACCCCTTAAGGAGTGCTATGGAAACCCTTATGGGAAACCTCTTAGAACCACTTACAACCCTCGATAGAGGCGAGGGCCCTGACCTCGGCGTGAGGGTTTCTGGGGGATTTTTCTGGGCTTTCTTGGGATGACGAAGGTTTAGGGTCTAGAGTTTAGGGGTTTTGTATGATTTTGTGGCCTTATTGGAATGATGAAGGTTTGGGGTTTAGGGGTTTTATGGCTTTATTGGGATGATTAAGGTTTGGGGTTTACTGTGCTATGCTTTGGCTCTTTCTGTTCGCGACTTGCGACAGGAGCGGACGCGGAGAGCCTCTATGGCACGGCCGGAGCTCCCCTTTGCAAGGATGCCGCCGATTTCCTTCCAGAGAGGGAGATGTGGGCTTGGTGCGACTTCTACGCTCCCGGTGCTTCGATGCCAGACGAAACTCGGCAAGCCTTGACAGCCTGGACTTGCATTGCTTTCGCTTCGATAAATCTGAGGACACGACGTGCAACGGTCAAGAGGGTTGCTACGGTGGACAGGGCTGGTGCCACTGCGAGGGCAAGACAGGCTGCCAGGGGGTGGGTGGCATCTGGAATGCCCAAACCTGCGCGATGGAGGTGGACAAGTTCAGGCCATGTCAGAAAGTACCGGAGTAGAGCGACGTTGTTTCAAACCCTAAACCCTAAACGCTTGCTACTTGCCCTCGCCAGTCCGGAGCAGCGGGAGATGTTGCGCAAGGCGGACCTGCAGGGCAACTGCCTTGACCTGGAGGCCGGGGTTTTTTGTCGGTCTCGAGCAGACAGGAAAAGTTTTCTTGGCCTCTTTGCAGGCCAACGGCATGAAAGCGCAGGACATGCAATGCAATGCAACAGGCTTTAGTTTGTTTGGTCTGTTCCTTTTGGGATGAAGGATCTGAAGGGGCGATGCTTCTTCCCCACAATGTCTCGGAGACGCAGGATCTGGTGTCCTATCCCGCGCAGACGTGCTGCCATTCCTTCCCAGCGTCGGTCTGCAACAAAGAGCTCGAGGCGCAGACACCTTGCCTGCAGGACGAGGACCGGCAGTAGCCAAGGAGGTTGCGAGATGTAGGGAGAGCATATAGTATAGTCTAGCATAATGTGATATGTAATAGAATATGGGTCACAGGGGTCGTTCTCTCTAAATAAGGGTCGCTGTTTAAGTCCCAAATATTAACTCCCATTAAACCCCTCCCTGCCCTAAGTCCCTAAACCCTAGACCCTAGACCCTAGAACCTAGACCCTAAACCCTAAACCCTAATCCTAACCCCCGCAGGACTTCGAGCACAACAAGTCGATGTGGGCCTGGTGCGACACCTACATCGCGGCCCCCTCCCAGGAGGTCTGCATGGCGAACGCAGCCGCCTCAAAGTTTGGGGCAGTTTAGGGGTTCGGGGGTTTAGGGCTCAGGGGTTAAGGGTTTTAGGGTTTTAGGGTTTAGGGCTCAGGGGTTAAGGGTTTGGGGTTGAGGGGGTTCAGGGGTTTAGGGTCCCATTTTTGGGAGTGCATTGAGCTTCAGCATGCTGCCGCCCAAGGGCTGCCATGGCGACGAGTGGCATTGCCACTGCGAGACCCAAGCCGGCTGCCTTGGTGTAGGCCGCGAGTGCATGGATGAAGTATGCAGTTCATCCCAGAGTTCCGTGAGGTGGTCGTTGGGAGGAGTACCAGTGCTGGCAGGATTTGAAGTGGATGTCGGCAGAAGTGCACGAGGCACCCACTAGACCACAGCATTGGGTGTCTGTGTTGTGCTGCTGCTGTCCTTGGTAAGTTTCATTGCGGTTTCATGCCAGTGACTGCGCAGGGCATCCTGAAGGCAAAGACTCAGCACACTTGCCCGGCACTTGGCCAGGATGGTGTTTGGGGACACCCGGATGATTTGTCCGCCAGTATACGTATCGGCAGGCGACGACGTGGAAGTTTGGCACAGCCCGTTGGAGTACAATGTGGATTGGCTTGGCTGGGTGCCCGGCTGTGCAACACTCTGTAATACATTGTAGGATGCGATGCAGCACGCGGTGACTTGTGCAGAGATAAGCCAGCCAGGCTCCAGCTGTTGTTCCACAGGCAAGTCCGTTTGCAAGGCGTGGAGCATCTCTCTAGCCAATATAGACTGACAAGAATCACGTATGTACATAAACATACTATGACTATGCAATATGCAAATACAGAACACACAGATGAATGAACTAATGATTCATGGACTAAGCATACAACAATGAATGTAAATATAGGAGCATAGTACAGCAAGCTACAGGTATACAACCAATAACTTGGTAAAGCAACAAGTACATATACACAGCCGTGGGATAAAGTTGTGTGCGTACAAAGTCACGCATAAATAATTTCGGCATGAAAACGTATAAACTAGGTAAATCGAGAAGTAAGTAGCTGAAAAGCACCTGTGTGTGTGTGTGTACATATACATAGTAGACATGTGTGTATGAATGTATTTCTGTATGTATGTACATACGTATGTATCTACATACGTATGTATGCACATACGTATGTATGTATATGAGTGCATGTATGTATGTATGCAAGCATGCATGTATGTCTGCATGTATGTACGTATTGGTGTCTGTATGTATGTATGTATGCATGCATGGATGTATGCATGTATGTGTGTATGTTTGTATGTATGTATGTTTGTATGCATGCATGCATGGATGTATGCATGTATGTATGCATGTATGTATGTATGTATGTATGTATGTATGTACGCGTGGAATGACTCTTTATGTGTGAGTGGCCTTTCTCTTCGATCGATGTGCGCTCGATTGCAGGAGCTGAAGGAGGGCGGCCGGTAGGCGCAATGCGAACAACCGAGCAGGGATGTGCAGCGCTTGTCCGATTCTGCAGCTTACCCTTTGTCTTTGCTCTCCTAGAAAACCGTTTGCAACATTATCTCTGGAGCGCATCTAACTCCAGACAACACAGATTACAATCCTTGGCTAAGATACTTCCTTTTTTTGTTACAACTCCAACTAAACAGAATCTCGAATGATATTTCCCTGGCTCTGTTCGGAACTATATATGGGTTAATACCTATACAACATGACACTTTTCAAGATAAACCATATTTGCGTTTCTTATCTCTTTCACGTTATTCCTGCTTAAAGGCGTATAACGTTCTGTCGTTATAAGGAAAATTTCTAAAAAACGAAGAATAATAAATAATTTAGGATTTATTTATTTATGAGAAAAAATCGAAAAAATATAAAGATAAATTCGAAAAAAGAAGATTATTAAATTTTTGGATTCTATATAGATAAAATTCAATATATATATATATTATTTCTTTTCTAATAATAGAAAAATATTTGCTTATATAGAAATATTTCGAATATTATTAAAAGAAATTTAAAGATTTGAAATATTTTTTTCATGATTCTGTATAAATAGAATGGAAAAAATGATTTTGATAGCGATATTTTTGCTATATTTTTTAATTTTATTTGAGATTCGGGTTCGGAAATTAGATTTGATAGTTTAATAGAGTATATATATATATATTATAAATTATGAATATGCTTTATCGATATCTAATATATTTCGAAAGATTTCTAAGAATATTTATATTAGATGATAATTACCATGATTTATATATTGGATATTTTCGATTCTTCGGAATTCTTTCGATTTTTATTTAGATTTTCTTAAATAATATTAATTAGAGATATATATATTATGATATTAAGATCGATAATTTTAAAATAAATATTCTCATTATTATATCTATTTAGAAAATTTTTGTCTATATGATAGGAATTATACAATCTTTATCGAGATAATAAGGGGCAAATATCGTCTTCCGACTAAAATGATTAATCCGAATCATAAACTATTTCTGAATAAATTATTTCATAGAATAAAAATAGATTTATACGAATAATATATAAAAATCTATTTATTGATAAAATGTTTCAATCCCTGATATTTGCCATAGAATTAATGGTCAATCCAGATATTTTTCACAAATTAATTCGATGATGGATAAGCAATCGATATCGAGAGTTTGTAATTAGATACGAACTTAATCTTTTCTTAGCTCGAATATCTTTTGGAAAGCAATTACTGAATCCTTATTTGATAATTTGTCATAAACAAATATCCAGACCATAAGAAATAACGCCACTATAAAAGAACATTTTTAGAAATATTCTAGAAAACAGACGACTCATTATTGAATTAAATAAAAAGAATTTTTCCCAATTCTATTCAAAATTCGGAAGATTAGACTAAGAAAATTCAATATAGATGTCCCATCTCAAGAAGAATCCACCCGCCATACGAATATCTTGGGGCTTTGGGTCACGCGAATTAATCGCTCAAAAAAAACGACTAATATAAATAATTCTAGATTATTTAATTTATTATTCGCAAGAAAGATCAATTATTAAATAGAGAATAAAAAAAAGAAAAGACGAAATTCAACAGAAAGATCAATTTCACGATTTCGTCTATATTATATATATAAAATATTGCACTCGTAAAGAATATAAAGAGCTAAAATAAATAAATTCATAAAATATTCAATAGAGATAAATATAATATTTTACCAAATCAATATATCTTCATTCTGTATTATATTTTTACTAGACTAGATTCATGTTCCAAATCAAAATATCTCAATAAAATATATTCAATATATTCTTAGAAATATTATATATATAATTTATCTTATTTAATATACGATGTTTTATTAAAATTTTCTTCATCTCAAATAAATTTTAATAATCTAAAAAAGTCATTAGAGATATATTATAATATTACCATTATAGAAGATCTATATAATAAAATCTAAATTTAATATCGATTCAAAAAAAATCATAGAATTTTATCTGAAATTTAGATAAAATTTATCCGCCTCTTAATCATTCATTCAATTATCTATTTAATAAATATAATCTTTCTATATGATATTTCTTTATTTATATATTCTTTAATAAGATCTTGGCCTTCTATAGATCCTAACCTTTCAAAAACGAAATTGATCGATAATTCTTATTCCATCTTCGATAGCAAAATCGATCAATCAGCTCTACTCAAAGCCCATTATCGTTATCTCCTCAACATGTATCTGCCTCATATCGAAGTCAAAATAAGCAAGAAATCGTTCTTCTTAGTACTACGGCATCGTTTCGAGACCAACACAACGGCAACAACTCGTACTTCTTAGAATTGGGGCATCATTTCGAAACCAAAAACAATTGCTACAAATCGTATTTTTTAGCACTGGGACACCACTTTGAGGCCAAAACAAAACGGCAACAAATCCTACGTCTTAACACTGGGGCATCATTTCCAAGCCAACACAACGGCAACTAATCCTACTTGTTAGCACTGGGGCATCACTTCGAGGCAGAAACAACGGCAACAAATCGTAACGGCAACAAATCGTACTTCTGAGCACTGGGGGCATCACTTCGAGGCCGAAACAACGGCAACAAATCGTATTTCTTAGCCCTCGCACTGGGGCACCTCTTTAATCAACAGCAACAAATCGCACTTCTTAGCCTTGGGGCATCACTTCGAAGCCAAAACAACGGCAACAAATCCTACATCTTAGCACTGGGGCATCCAAAACAACGGCAACAAATCCTACATCTTAGCACTGGGGGCATCACTTCGAAGCCAAAACAACGGCAACAAATCCTACATCTCAGCACTGGGGCATCACTTCGAGGCCAAAACAACGGCAACAAAATCCTACATCTCCGCACTGTGGCATCACTTCCACGCCAAAAACGGCAACAAATTGTTTTTCTTTTTCGCTGGGGCATCACTTCGAGGCCAAAACAGCGGCAACAAATCACACTTCTTAGCACTGCAGGTATCACTTCGAAGGCAAAACAACAGCAACAAACCGTATTTCTTAGCATTGGGGCATCATTTCGAGAACAAAACAACGGCAACAATTCGTGCTTCTTAGCCTTGGGCATTAGTTCGAGGCAAAAAACAACAGCAACAAATCGTACTTTTTAGCACTGGGGGCATCACTTCCAAGCCAAAACAACGGCAACAAATCCTACATCTTAGCACTGGGGGCATCACTTCGAAGCCAAAACAACGGCAACAAATCCTACATCTTAGCACTGGGGCATCACTTCGACGCCAAAACAACGGCAACAAATGGTTTTCAAGGCCAAAACAACGGCAACAAATCGTACTTCTTAGTACTAGGCATCACCTCGAAGCTAAAACAACGGCAACAAATCGTACTTCTTAGCACTGGGCATCACTTCATGGTCAAAACAACAGCAACAAATCGGAAATGGAACCAAAACAACGGCAACAAATCCTACTTCTGAGCACTGGGGCGTCACCTCGAGGCCGAAACAACGGCAACAACACGTACTTCTTAGCACCGGCGCATCACTTCGAGGGACCCTAATTGAGAGAACTACCCACTTCAGGGCCTTGAGTGAGTCGGAGTTTGAGACAGTGCATATACATGGAAACTTAGGCCCCACTCAAGAATCAGGGGTGAAGCCGAGTGTGGAGTGACCCGTGCATATACATATATATATATATATTAATCATATACACGCGCACTTCATATACTATGTTGCAATGCTGCATTAAATAGAACAAGCAAGACAGCTTAATATAAGTTATAAAACATGCGATGAAGAGTTCCGGAAGGATTTTATCGGAGGGTTTAGGCAAAAGCACGGCAGAAGCGCTTCCCACTCCCCTCCTTCCTCTCTCCGAGCAGCCAGCTCCCAATCAAGCCCGAACCACAGGTGGCTCAGAGTCCACAAAGGCATAAGGGGCAAAAGACTCTGCCCAATCCAGCTTGAGCCGGTGATAACTGCGATTGCAAGGGAAAAGCTGGCTCTGACCTATGGTCTGAGTCCAAGGCAGGGCTCGGAAGGCCCCACACCCCCAGGCACCTTGCTTGCAACACGACAACCGGAGTTACTCTGAACGCGAGCTGCAAGAGCCGCTTGGCGGCCAGCAGAAGTTCAGAAAATTCATTAACCTTGTCCATGTCCTCTTCGTCTGCTGCTTTCAGGAGAAGCTTCGTGATCCAAATATGGCTCGTCATATAACCAGAACCCTAAATCCCAAACCTTGT